GGGAAAAACAAGAACGGTCTCATGCCAGTGCTTCATTTTATAGGCATCCTAATCCTTCCTTTATTTTCAGCTAGTGACCAGCCCTACCAGGTCCTGACCATCTGTTCGGATATTGACAACGAGCACATTCACGAAATCCATTACAACACTAATAACGCTCAGATCCTGAAGTACCCCCCGGAGACCATGCGTGTCTCTGCCATCACCAACAATGACTGCAGTCCAGTGTCAAAAACAACTACTCTCTCAAAGACCAATCGGGTGGAGAGAAGATGGAATGTGGGCGTTTCCATCAAAGTGGGCATCAAGACGACTTTTTCTACAGGTATCCCCATTATTGCGTCTGCAGGTATTGAGGTCAGCGGTGAGGTGACATTCCAGGCCTCAGGAGGACATACCTATGTAGAACAGGTTCAACACTCTATAGCTGTAAAGCTTGATGTCCCACCAAACCACAGCTGCAAAGTCAGGCTGCTGGGATATAAGTACAAGGCAGACATCCCTTTCACTGCACGTCTCACCCGCACCTACAAAAATGGTGCGACCACATCAACATCCATCTCTGGGACCTACAACAGTGTCGAGGTTGGAGAAGTCCGGGCTGTGGTGGACAGATGTGAACCTGTTCTCGACGCCAGGCCTTGTTCCTAAAGACATCAGTGTATGTAGAATGCATACTAAACCCGATCCTCATTTACCACATGTACTGCAAAAAGAAATTTAAAAGTAGTTCAACATGAGGCCTTGTGCATATTTGAGTATAGTAAATGTCAGAATTATTAGCAGCAGACGTTACTTTCAGTTATGCATCTTAAAAATGTAACTTGTTGCTTTAAATGTCTTTGAATAGTTATTTTGTAATTAACAAATAAAGTGGGTATCATGTTTTTCTGACCATGTAAGTTATTAAATACATGAGGTTCATCCACAGCAGCTGCTGCAGCTGTGTGCATGTTCAGTGGGACTGTTTGGATCTTCACTGGAGGCCGACAGCAGCGGCTGTAGTAGTACACAACTAGAAATGGAGGCCGGCTCACATTGTCTTTCCAGTTTGGATCCACAAACTATAAACTGATAAAAATGACATGTTCAGTGGCATCACTGGCTGTTTGCTGTGTCTCTACTTTGACACAATTGTTTTAGTTTCATATCTTATTTATGTTTTAGCTCCTCACATGTTGTTATAACGCTTTTTTTGGTTACAGGGAACATTAGGACTATGAATTCACCTTTGATTTTCCAGAGACAAAAGAGGTTTCCTGATTAAACTGCACTAGTCAGTTTTTATGTAGGTACAATGAGTCACAAAATAACAACAATGTAGGTTTGAAAGTTTTGTCAATGAACTTTTCATAAATGTTGGGACAGACAGAGCAGCACAAACCAAAGAAAACATTTTCTATAGAAGGTAGAAAAGCCAGATGAGTGATTCCTATTTCTACCTCAGTGTTTGTTGGCTAAAGTCTGAGTTTGAGCACAAACATTTCTGATGTGTGTGTTATGCAGTTTTTCTCCAGGGCCAACATTTATAAACTTGATAAAATCGGTCCAATCCACAACCTGTTGACTATTGATTAATCAAAGTCCAGATGAAAGTACATGTTTGTTTTCTGTCTTGACTAAAAACCAGCTGTATGAGCATCATCTCTGTGACTAACAGACTCGTGCACCAGTGCTGTACGCTGTGGTTCGATCTCATGGTGAGTTTTCAGGTTGGTTTTAAACTTTGATTCAAATCTGGACCCACACAACACTTGACTGTCAGATTACATGTGCTACTGTTAACATGCACATCGCAGTAGATAAGGTTTGACTTTGAACTTGTCTGATTAGTGAAGAAGGTTTCAAGCCCAGAGCCCTGGATGATCTCTACACTGCTCCAGGATGGTTCAACCTGTTTACACTCAGAGCAGATTACAAACAGACAAATAAATCACAATGCTCATGTACTGAATCTCTAAGTAACAGCTTTGGCTTTGGCTGTTACTTAGAGATTCATATTTTTCAGATTTTTTTTTTCACAGAACTGTAGTTATCACACTGTCCCCCGTGTTACTGTTTATCAACACAAACCTTCTGGTTGGTTAAATATGACATTCAAACCTGACTGTGACCATCAGTGATGTGATTCTGGTTTGCGTCTCCAGATGAAGCTGTTACTGCTGCTGCTGGCTCTGTCCTGGGCCAGTCTCCAGGACACGGTGGGGACCAGTTCACAGCCCAGAGATGGTAAAAACACATGAGGTTCTCTGTGATGCAACTGCACGTGGCACAAAACTGTTCCCACCTGTGAGTCTCTTACATACATAAATATGTTTCCCATACAAATCCTATGAACAGTGGTTACAGCTATAGCTGAAAAACGTCAAAGACGTTGCACCTCTCATCCAAGAGGCTTCATCAGTTCTGACTGCCTGGTGTTGAGCCAGAGATATTTATCCCCCTTGGTGGTGTTTCAGTCCTTTGAAGGCCAACAATGTCTCCTAACGACTGAGTCGTTGTAGTTGTAGGGTATGGTTCTTATTACCATTGCTAACTCTCAGAGACGAGACAGTCCAAGTAACTTCAAAACAGTGCTGATTTATTCAAAGGATCACAGGTAAAATTAACATTACACGCTCAAGTATCTTGCACCTCCATACTGCACGCAGGCAGATGTAAGATGAAAAGACCCTGAACCCACCGGGCCTATACATTATATCACCTCGGTTGGGCTAGCCCCATACTACACAGAAACGTCAACCGGGACGTCTCTGTTACCAGCTCTGCAGCTGGCTATAGCAGTAGTCAAAACATGAAGCAAATCAATGTGAGAATGTGTGTGTCTGTTGGTTAAGTGGTGTGTAGCTAAAAACATTCTCACGACCTCTAGTACATGTCGTGACTTAAACATAAGAACATATTATGGCTAAGGCTACAGTTATACACGTTGAAAGCTATTTCCGTGTCTCAGAATGTGATTAACGATGGATGGGCTGTCTGTGAAGCCCATTGGTAGTCTCTGATAAGTGAGTTTTTGTCCCTTGTACTGGAAAGCAAAAATGTTTTGAGAGTCTCGGTCGAGTGGCACCGAGAAAAAGGCATTTGCAAGATCAATGCATGTGAAAAACTTGTGTTCAGAGCTTATTGCATTCAACATGGTGTATGGATTTGGAGTGTCATAATGAGTTGGAATCACAAGTTTGTTTATAGCTCTGAGATCATGAACCATCCTGTAATCAGGTTTTCCTGGCTTTGGTACAGGAAGTATGGGCGTGTTCCAAGGAGAGTGGGTGGGAGTCAAAACCCCAGCTTCCAAAGGTCCATGAATAGTTTTTTCAATTCCACTGACTTGCTGTTGTGTGAGTGGGTACTGGGCTCTGTAAACAGGCACAGCCCCCTCACGCAAAGAAATTTTGACCGGGTCAACTGTGATTAATCCCACGTCAGTCGGACCGGTGACAGAGCTGAAGGCAGTTTGTTCAACAATGCTTGTGTTAGTGGATGATCAACATCTTCTCTGTTATGATTTACACACTTCTCCAGTGACAATGTGAGCTGTGAGCTGTGCTCAATAGCATAACATTGAGTTGAAGGAGAGAACTGCAAGTGCTTGTTCTGTGTCTGAAGGACAGTACTGCAAGTCACACAATTCTGCACCATGGGTCCTAGATTTTTTGCATCAGCTCCATGTTTTACTAATAAAGTAATGTGTGGAGCTGAATTTTCAGATAGCAAGTAAAGATTTTGAAGGTCATCTGACAAGTGAACCAGTGCTGCCACACCGTCAGGCCCAACATACAGTTTTTTCACATCAACTGTATTTCTCCTCTCAGAC